GGGGGGCCTGTTCTGCGGGTGTGTGCGCACCGCGTTTCCCTCCTGGAGGGAAGGTCCTTCTCCGGCTGCACCGCCGAGTCTCTCTGGCTGAACCAGCTGGGGCTGACGTGTCCTTCTCCGCCTGGGGAGCAGGGGGCGCCCTTGTGTTTCAGTCACGGTGTCTGGGAGATTGTGGGGCAGATCGCAGAGGGGCCTCCGTGATGTTCTGTCTGTGCACGTCTGAATGTCAAGTACATTTCACATGACCTGGATACACAATTAAGAGGAAATAAGAGCATGATCAGCTTTGTGAAGACTGCTGGCTCTGGACACTATCCTTCACACAGCCAGGCTCTCTCTACTGTATCACTGAGCACTGTATTCAGATATGGAGCCATGTTATAGGGTTTTATTTGTTCAGGCACAGAACATCATCACCGGCTTGTACTACAGACAGGAAGTCTGCTGGTGTTTGACCCAGCCCAGTTCTTCATCCCAGGATCTTTTCAGTTTTCTGTTTCGGGCCTGTTTGTAAATTTGTATTCAGCTTCCATCCAGCTGCATTCAGGGTTCAGGTCTGTAATGATTATAAATACTGGACCAATGTCTCAGTTTCAGAACTGCCCTCATTCAGGTGTGCAGAGTGTCCGATATAGGACACACCCACCATGGGTGTGTCTGATACAAGGTCACTCCCACCATGGGTGTGTCTGAAACAAGGTCACTCCCACCACGGGTGTCTCTGATACAAGGTTTCTCCCACAATGGGTGTGTCTGATACAAGGTCACTCCCACTTATACCTGTCTGGTTACTGGGTCACACCCACTTATACCTGTCTGGTTACTGGGTCACACCCACTGTGGGTGTTCCGATGCAGGGTCGCTCCCCCATCCCTGCCTCATCAGCTGATCAGACAGCAAGAGCTGATTAGTCAGAAATAATGGCCAGCAAATTGTGAAGTGGCTGTGTGAGGTTCTGTGCTGAAGCTGTTGAAAATGGTGCCCTTGAAAGTCGGCTGTTTCCGACACTCAGGTCCGACAGAAGAAACCAGGTAAATAAAAGTCTGTGAAAGCAAAACGGGTTAGAACTCGTTTGTAGATGTAGAACTCAGCTGGAATGAAAACTAGGAGAGAAGGCGTTCTTCCAGGACCAGTGCAGGGAGTCTAAGTGTTGACGTAAAGCTAAATACTGTGGAAACAGGTGAACACTAATCGCAGATACTTTTTCTGCTTTCATTAAGTTCCTTTTCTTATAATATTTTACTAAAACTGTGGTACGTGTTTACCTTACCATGATTTACACGTGTACTGTATCTCAGATTGTGGTACGTGAGAATTTAATGTTTTTGATGTAACGTTCGTGTAGGAACGCACGCTTGATGAGCAGTAGTGTGGAGCTTGTTCCTGGTGTAAAATGAGGAGCTGGTGTAAATGGACTGTCTGTCGTTTGGGAGTGGTTTGCACTGCACGCCCATTGACCTTTGAGACTTCATGACGACTCTGCGGTCTCCGCTTAAGATGGGGACCTTTCATTTTTTTAGGTTGCAAATGCTAAGAGGCCATTCAGTCTGTGTTGCTTCTTGGATGCTGGTAGCTTATGGATCCAAGGGTTGCCCTGCTGGCTGTTCCCTGAAGGATCTCGAGGAAATCTTTGTGAGCAACATGGCGAGGAACTCCGAGCTCTGGAACCGAGACCCAGTGCTTGCTTTCTTTTAGCAAAGTTATTCTGGGGGGAAAAAAAAAGATTGGCTCTGCGTCACCCCCGTGTTAGTGGCTTGAAATGAAACTTTTTTTTGGGTTAACTGACCTGTCTTTCCTCCTCGCCCCTAGAAAATCAAGGCAATAGAGCAGCTCAAGGAGCAGCAGGCCACTGGCAAGCAGCTGGAGAAAAACCAGGTGAGGTGCCTTGAGCTGGGGCCCTGGGAATTCTCTCCCTGCGGCGCCACCTGGCGTGTGGAGGACTCAGGAATCCAGGAACAGTGGACCTTATGGAGGAAGCCGTGTGTGCCAGATACTGATTCCTGTTGGGTACTTCAAACCCCAGGTCTGCTGAGTTAGTTGCAGTATGTAGTGAGTTACACAGACTGTAAGTGGAGTTCCAGCTTCAAAGAAATGACGTACACCCCGCCTAATCTGTCATCATTCTTATTGTGGAAGCTTTATTGAGTTTGTTATTATGTTCCCCTGGGCATCTGATGAAATCCAATGTGTCTCTGAACATTGTATTTTTCGTGAATCGTGCGTTGCGTGTCGGGTTGTGACATTCGTGTTCTGACGTCTTTGTCTTTATCCCTATTTTTTTAGATTGAGAAGATACAGAAGGAGTCCCAGTTGTTACAGGAATTGGAGGATTTGGAACTGGGATTGTAATTTAGAAAGGAATTCTTTGGCCATTTTCTGTCCTCAAGCGCTATATAAATCGCAGGGTTTATTTTTCAGAATTCTACATCTGCTCTGGACACTTCCTTCACCGATCACAATCGCAGTTTGTTTCGTTTAAATGAAGTGACTCGCCGAACAGGAAAGCTACAATCTGGCAGGTGTTACAGAGCAAGATTCTTCTATTTTGGTATGGACTAATTTAAATGTCTGAGCCACGAATAAGTATTATTCTTTAGCACAAGACAGTAAAGCTATGCAATGCAGTTTAAAAAAACAAAACAAATCCTAGTTATATTTTAGGACTGTACATACTGTACTAAATGCTTTGCTCTGCTCAACAGTTGAAAAACTTAAGATAAAACATTGTGAAATTGTTTTACCATGTTTCAGAAGCCTAAATCGGTTATGCCATTTGTATGAACTGGACAGTGTAAAATAAAAGAAATGTCAAAGAATCTGTACTCAGTGTTGAATGGTAGAATTTGAGGGGGGGGGGCGGGGACATAAATTTGATTATCACTGCCTGAACCTTCACATTCAGAGCAGTTCTGAAAGAGAACTATACCATTACACAAATGGTTCCTTCTGTGAGTTCAACGTTTGGAAAAAACTGCATCTATTATAATACTATAGAGGTTTTGGTCATGTTCTTATTTTATTGTATTATTACATTTGATGCCTCAAACTAATTTCCTATTCAAATCAAACTATCTTCTGTTACAAGGGGAAATAGAATTTATGGCAGAGTCAAGTCATATATCAGGTCAGCCTATTTAAGGAACATGTCCTATAGTGATTTATAGACTATTTTACATGATGCAAAAGTTAAATTAAAGAGGGAGATGAATGACTTTCTACATTTATTGCCCTTAGACCATGAGGTGTCTCCCAGGTGGAGGTAGATCTGATGACAGAGGAGGTGGGGAGTCTCACACTCCACAGTGCTGCTGGTCTTCTTGAGAGCCCCTTGCATTTAGATTGAGAAACCTGATTCACTCTGATGGTTTCACTAAAAAATGTTCATTTTCCCCAGCATATTTGCAGTTCACAGTACTGATGTTAAAACGGTATGTTAAGACACTTTCAATAAAAGATATAACAGATTTATTTTAAAAACTGAAAAGTTTGACCTTTTTGTAAATGGTCTGACATGAGATTCTTCCCATCTTAAGCCTTTATCTATGATCATTCCCATATACTGGCTACACCTCTTCAATCAGACCACTTATTACAGTGACTTGGATGGGAGATTCCTTGTTTTTTCTAAAATTAAAGATGTTTGTTCTCAAAACATTTAACTCTAAAGAGGGTATATTGTGCTATTCAATGAAACAACTCGATTTCAATCATGGTGATCTGGGTTCTGATTAAGATGATAGGGCTGAGGCAGCAGCAAATGTGATGAGATGTCTGTTTGCCCTTACAATCATTGGTGCACAATGAGGGGACAAGAGACCGCCTAGTGGTGATTCAATGGAAGTGCAGCATACAACCGATAACCATTTCCTCACTTTGACCCGTTGAGAACTTTGAATTGAATCTGAAATTCGTCTAATCAAATTGTAATTTTTCATTTGAAATTCTTTGACAATGTCCGTGCCAGCAGGAGTGGCTGAATCATGGTAAAAGCAGAGGAAACATCAGCAAATAAAATGATCAAATGTCTTGCTTGGTCTTGAACGGTGTGATGTGTTGTGTCACCTCCTCCCCTGTATGGAAACTGCAGGGGGCCAGTAAGGTTCTGTGTGATTTCTAGCAACAACAACAATAATAATTCCTAACACTTATATAGCGCTTTTCTGGACACTCCACTCGGAGAGCTTTACAGGTAATGGGGATCCCCTCCACCCCTACCAGTGTGCAGCCCCACCTGGAAGATACGCCAGTCCGCTCCCCACACACCAGTGGGGAGGAGAACAGAGTGGTGAAGCCAGTTCAGAGATGGGGATTATTAGGAGGCCAGGATTATTAGGAGGCCAGGGAGGGAATTTGGTAACACCCCTACTCTTTTCAGGAAACACCCTGGGATTTTTAATGACCACAGAGAGTCAGTTTCATGTCTCATCCGAAGACAGGACGGCACCTATTTTACAGTACAGTGTCCCCGTCACTATACTGGGGCATTAGGACCCACACAGACCTCACGGTGAGCGCCCCCTGCTGGCCCCACTGACACCTCTTCCAGCGGCAGCCTGAGCTTTCCCAGGAGGTCTCCCATCCAGGCACCTCCCAGGCTCACACTGCTGAGCTGCAGTGGGCTGCCAGCTGGGAGCTGCAGGGCGGTATGGCTGCTGGCCATGTGTTTTACACATTTAGGTCATTCGCCAGCTGTTGGCCTGCTTACCATTTCACCCAGGAAAAGCATTAGCACTGCTGCCCCTCAGAGATACTGGCCAGGGGCTTCAGGCCCTGTCGTGTCACTGTGGTGTCACCCCCAGCCACGGTGCTGGCCTGTGTCTTCCCTGGGCTGACATCCAGCTTCCCTCTTCCCTCCATCCCTTTTCACCCCTTCCTGCTCGACGCCTCCGAGAAGAGGAAATCTTTTCCATAAGCAACCGACGTCTGAGACGCTTGGTTTCCCACGGCTTTGTTACTGGGGGGAAAAAACGAAGAAACTGTAAGCGTTGGGTGGGCATAACGGAGAGAGACGTATCATCGGGTTGGGGAATGTCGTCCAGCGTCTGTTCGGAACTTCTTTTGCCCCAGGGTAGGAGACAAAGTCCACACCCGAGCAGCCCGCTGACCCGAGCTCATCCAAGGACCTGTAGCGTTCAGCAGATTAAAGATCACGCGACTCCCTGCCATGGGACTCTGGTTCATCACCCCCCAAGAGCACAGATACCCACTTACATATTTCCATTGTTAGGTAGATAATCTGTATTTATTATAGATCAGATATACTGATATTATCGCTCAGTCAAGGCAGTGAGCAGCTTAATTACTGTTTAGTAATGGCAGATATAATTCACTGATATTCAGCAGAACCTAAGTATTGTAAAATAAGGTTAAGGAGGTTTCATACAAAATAATTCATTGAATTTACCCAGTTAAGACTCTTGTTGTCCTGTGATTTAAGACTAATATAGATGATAAATGCGTTTTTTTGTGCCTGTAGCCCTGAAACTATTGAGCATTTATTTTGGTTATGTCCCAGGGTAAACCCTTTCTGGACTGAGTTGCAGACATGTATTAAAAAAGACACCAATACTGATATTTGTTTTGAAGAAAAAGATGTTAAGTTTCAGCCCCATCGAAAACGATACTAAAGTATCGTTTGTAATAAATTTAATTATAACGGCACGTAATTATATACACAAATTGAAGTGCTCTGGGAAGAATCCTCTGTCTGAGCATTTTAAAACTGAATGTAAAGGAGGAATATCTACAGACTATTTCAAAATGTAAAAATTTGAAAGGGGTGCGGGCGCGATCTTTATTTCATTTGTTTAAACTTTTTTTCGTAATCTGAATTTATTTTGTAATATGTACCCCTGACGAGTTTTTTTTTGTCTTGAAATGTTATATGTACTCTTGTTTATATTGTATTTTTTTGTTATTGTTGAAGCATAAATAAAAAAAAAACCAATAGGACTTCGCCATATCACACTGCATCTCTTGACCTGCGTTATTACACATAAATATTTTTTTTATTTGATAGATTTATAACGCATTCTAAAAACGCGACGTATTTCTTAAGGGTGGTTGAAGAGCCGAGTTTAACGTTGGCGCTCACTGCAGCGGGGGCGATGCGAGGAACCTCAGCATGGCAGCACGGCTGGACTCCAACTCCCAGGGCGCCTTGCGCGGCGTCTACGCGGGGGGCGTGGCGTGTGCGTGTGCGTGTGCGTGACCCCGCACGCAGAGAGTACACCTCCCCCTCCTCCGCTCGGCGGCCGGGCTGTGTCTGTTCCCTGAGCCGGGAGGAAGGCGCAGCGGCATGGAGAGGCGGCGGTTGTCCTTCGCGTTCCTGCTCCTGGGGCTCCTCGCCCTGTATTCCGCCTCTGCGGACCACCCGGGGAAGAAGCTGAAGATGCAGTTCTCGACGGGGCCGCTGCTGAAGTTTCAGATCTGGTAAGCGCGGGTCCGCGGCGAAGAAAGAGGAAATGTTTCTGGAGGAAATGCTGATGAAGTGCAGGGCCTGTCATCGTCCGGAAGCGAGGACTGAGCCTTGGGGGTGTTTTTTTTTTTCTTCCCCCGCTTATGTAACGATAAATCGACTTAATTGGCTAACTAACGCGCAGACACGCCGGGCAATGTCAGCGAGATTGAGTGGACATCTCGGGCACTCGCCCCGTATCTTATTCCTGGTTTTCCATGTTTAGGAGGGCGACAGTAAACGCTGCTCTGCCTAGCCGGCGGCGTTGTTGCATTTCTGTTTTTAACCCAGGAAGCGAAGACCTGCGTCGGAAGCCGTTTAATTGTTTGCTGACCCCGGCCGCCGGCTTCTTATCTCTTAACGTTTTCGATCGTCGTCATTCGTCCATCAGGCTGCCAACGTGAAGTGGCTCAATTCAGTGCGGGGCAGCTTTAAACACCCGCGGCCGGTGGCCGTGCGCTTGTCGGCGTTTGCTCGGTGTTGGTGGTGGCAATCTGTGCTTTCAGATAATTGCACACTCCCGATCCGAGGACGCCTGTTTCTGGCACTGAAGGAGCGGAGCGAGCTGTAGCCTCTACGGTGAACTGCAAGGGCGCACGAAGATGACAGTTAACAATTAACCCTCGGGTTGGGTGACGTGCAAGATTAAAAGGGTGAACCAGGCGCGCACACGGGTTCCGCACAAGGCGACGGGCTCGCTGGTAGTTGGAGCACACTTGATCTTTCAGAGTATGAGCCTGATGCCCTCGTCCTGTCCGTCGCTGTGGAGACTGTTCGCCGTGCAAGGCAGCCCAGACCCGTCTCAGACTCTGAGAGGCGCCCCGGTCCCCAGCAGGCACAGTCCGAGCACAGGACAGCCGGGCTGCGTGGTTGCTCCTGACAGACACTGTCTTGCTTGCGGGATCTCGGCGCTGGTGGCAGGCAGAGAAACTGCAGTTTCCTTTTTATTTAATGGAAGATGGTGTTTGACGTGCTGAGCACTAGACACAAGCCCCACGCGTGTGTTTTCTTGTGTTGCACTCAGCTTCAGAACTGACAGGAGGTTCCTGACCCGTGAGGACAGATATATACTGCACATCCAGGCTTTCTCCGGGTGGCTGTGTGCTCGATGTGGTGTTGGGTAGAGGAGACACTGATGTCCGCACATCCCAGTGCTTTGTTTTCCTCTGGTTGTGCCAGTTCAAGTGGACTTTGCTCTCTCCCAGGCTGAGCTAATTACTGTAGCAGTAAACACTTCTCCAGTCCTATCGAGTCAGATAATCATGCTTCTGTGATGCAAAGATCCCTTTCCGACAGTCTCAGACTCTGCTTTGAATTTAATCGGCAGTGACAAAATGCCAGAGAGACCTGTCATTCATTCAGCTGCGTTTCATTAATGATTGAGTGGACAAAACAGACTGGCAGCAGGAGACACACGCTGCCACATGGAGCTCACATAGACTTGGGGCCCAGTGTCTGTTTCAGTGTCTGAGCACATGATTGCAATTCCCACACGAATTGCACCCACTGGGGCTCTTTTCGTGCCCTGTGGCTTGTTAGCCATTCTGTGGGGTCCAAATTAGAAAACAGAGGAGAAAACATTTAGGACAGGCTGTAGGGGAGGACGGACCTTTACCCAAACAGCGGCAGGTGTCCGGAACAGACTTCCCAGCCAGGTGGTTGAGGCCTAAACTCTGGGCTCCTTTTTAAAAATAAAAAAACAGCTGGATGATGTTTTAGATGTACTCAAGATTTTTTTAGATTTAGAGCTACTAAGCCATCCAACGAGCAGATTGGGCCACAGGACCCCAGCTGTCTGCGGGAGTCTGTGTTTGTTTGGCGGCCCTGAGACGATGGCGTAGCTGGTGCTGAAGGGCTCTTGTTGACGCGGCTCCTTCCCCGCAGCGTCTCCTGAGGGTACCGGCGGGTGTTTGAGGAGTATACGCGGGTGCTGAACCAGCGGTACCCAGACATCCGCATCGAGGGAGAGAACTACCTTCCCCTGCCCGTTTACCGGTAAGAAGCCCCCCCTGCTGTCTGGCAGCCGCCCCCGATGATCAATAGGTTCTTCTGCCAGCACAAGCTGGTTTATAATGATAATAATAATGATGATGATGATGATGATAATCTTTCTTATAAAGCGCATTTAAAGGTGGCTTCTCAAAGCACTTGACAGAGTGACGACAATAGAAAATACACAAGATGTGCACAATGAGAATACACAGTGAGAGGAGACAGCAGAGGGGGGAACTGAATACAGGAGGAGCAGAGGGGTAAAGAACAGAACCAGTTCAGTAAGGGCTCTTCTGAAGAAGAAGGGTTGAGTCTGGATCTGAAGGAGTTGAGAGAAAGTGACTCTCTGATATCCTTGGGGAGAGAGCTCCAGAGATTGGGGGCGTAACAGGAGAAGGCCGTCACCCCCAGAGTGAAGACGGGCTTGGGGGACAGACAGGAGACCAGAATTAGAGGAGCGAAGGTTGCGAGGATGGGAGGAGGACGATAGTTGCCTTCCTCCTTTCCCCCTCTGTGCTTCGCGGAAGATCTCTGCTGTGTTGTATTTTTCTTGTGGAGGCCAACAGAGACAGTTCGACAGCTGTGGGCGGGGGGGGATAGCAGATCTTGCAAAATGAGGTAACAGAGGGCCACATGACAGAATCCCATACAGCAGTAGTAGAAGCCAGGTCTGGTTTCTTTTGTCTCTGCAGTTTGATTGAGCCCAATCAAACCCCACCCACAGAATTGCAGAGCGAGGGACCTGAATTTAATATTCTACCATCTCTTCAAACTTACTGCAGTTGTATGTTTGAGATGCACACGTTTTGTGCAGTACTGAATGCACATCCTCTCAGTCAGTCAGGGATCGAAGGTAGACTGAATGTGGTGTCCAGGTTGTCTAGGTGGTGTATGCAGTGCCAGTCCTAATGTTAATCCCTCCTGTGTGCTCTCTTGTGTTTGTGTGTCAACAGGCATATTGCTTCCTTCCTTTCTGTCTTCAAACTAGCTGTGATCGGCCTGATAATACTTGGCAAGGATCCGTTTGCTGTCTTTGGTATGCAGGCTCCTGGTCTGTGGCAGTGGGGCCAGGCGAACAAGGTGAGAGGCCCGTGTCTGCTTGTAAACGCTCTCTGGAGTCATCGTCCCTCACTCCCTGGAGTCTC